CCGGAGATCAGAGAGTCCCAACAAGCGTTGCGATACGCCAGCTTGCTAAAAGCGCTCAGCTTGCTATGCAATTAGTAACAATACTTGTAGAGGAGAATAAGAAGCTACGTGCAGAAGTCTAGCGCCAGCGACAAAAGCAGGACTGGTAGCGTCAATATATTGCTTTTGGTGGAGTGCTCCGAGTCCAAGAGGCTTAGTAGATAGCTGCAGAGGCAGAAAGGGTAGTCATGGGGGGTGACTAGAACCAGGCTGGCGAGCGACGCTAGCGCGCGCCGCCAACGTGTACAAAGTGCCACGTTCAAGGACATACTTAGACTTCATGTAGAGCTAGATAAAGAATAATATCTCTTATTTCTATCTAATATTATTGCGTTGTTGTGGCTCAATGGCGTGGAGCGTCGCATGAGGTTTGGTGGGGTGGCCCACTAACTGATCCGGCCCACTTACTGATCCCGCACGTTATAGGGTTAGGGTTAGTAAGCCTGTCACGCATTCGTCAAGCGCATCAATAATTAGGTATATTGTGCTTAAGCTAGCATCTTGCAGCACGCTGAGGAAAATCTCTATTAGGGTGACCCAGGCGTTAGTGTCGTGGAATAAACTTTCACCTGCGCGATCAAGCTTCTTGCGAGTATGAACTAGTTATAATAAGGTAGATTTTTCTCGCCCACTTACTAGCATATGGCTGCAAGACTTCCCATTAGTAATTGAATATAGCCATTATCTCAATGCTTGCCTATTTTAGTGCTTTATCTTTGCTGTACTCTGCACGCAAACACTCCATAGTAGCAACAAAATGCCTTCCGTAATTGACCGTATCTAAATGCATCCTACCCCATGTCTTAACACGTCCGTAGCAACATTTCCATCCTAAGGGGCGTCTATGAATGTACAGATAGTTACACTATATTAGGAGATAGGTGGACGCTTTGGATATCGAGAAATACTTCCTATCACACTAAAAGAGGTGTAATTAGATAAAACTCAAGATTCTTTAGTGAATATCACTTAAGTCGACTCATCTCCAAAAAGAATTGCTATAGTGTTAGGCTTGGCTATTAGTTGTCTTGTTAATGTCGTTTATCAACTCTTTAATAGCATCCCCTCTATATTGGCGGTTATATGGAGCAATTAACCACTTTTAGAGTGGTGTGTAATTAGTTTAAGCAAAATAAAGGAAGGCCGTCTATCTAGCTACATTAACATCCCCCTCTATATAACGAGAACGACTAATGAGACATAGTGTGGCGTTAGAGTATTTATCATCCTTATAGCCTAATTAATTATTCTTAGCATGCAAGGCTACTCGCTACATCGTGTGGGCCTTTAGTTAGGCTAATAACCCTACTCGATCGTGGTAGTGTAAGGTCGACCACATGCAGAGCAGCTAGCAGGCAAGAAAGGAGTGAAAATAACATATCATTGAAGAAAGATAAAATAGTAAAAAAGGAGCTAACTAAGGCAAGGACCTAAGGTATTATACCTAAAGGCTAAATCTAGCTACATATTAGCTATTTGCTTGTTTGCTAGGCACTAAGGAGTAGGGCTAGTAGCAAATAGCAGCTAAAGAAACAGGGGAGAAAAGCTAAATCTATAAGACATAGCCAAGAAGGTAAAGAAGATCCATTAAGGTAAGCCTTCTAGGATAGTGTCCTTACACGAGTAGTTATTTATAAAATAAAAATCATAAGAAATAAGAATAAGTAAACTATTATAATAAATCTTAAAATTAAGATGAACATATTCTTTATAACAACACAGGCAAGACGACTTGGATCAGTATCAGCGGGAAGAGTCACTTAGAGGCATATGGGAGTGCATGGTGGACAGCAACCAGGCCTTGATTCAAGTCAACACCTATAGGTCTTGTACGAAAGGATATCAAAAGTCTACAGAGCTAGCTATAGGGAGTGTCTTAATATATACCTATCCTAGTCAGGTCTAAATTTGGATCCAACATCGGGCGAATAGCTGCTGAAGGGCGGCAGGTACTTCCTCCGATCCGGCTCTGGGATTGGCTCAATATGTTATGGGAAGCCAAGGCCTTACCCCATTAGGCTAGCGCCTTGGCTCCCCTGCCTGTATTATAGCTCACCACCTGGGTAGCCTGTAGCCTCACCACTATTGTACGCATACTTGTCTAACTACTTGTCTTGTTCTTGTTGCTTTTGGCTTTGGCATTGCGCCATTGCATCTGGTAGCTGCTCTCTCCATTGATCTGCATTGTGCAGTGCCCCGCTGGCTGCATTGCGCAGCGCCCGAACGCATTGCGCGGACCGGAAAAAGTCAACCTCAGGCACCAGTCGCTGGCCTCGCCGTAGCCATTAGGACCAAGTCCGCACTAGAAACTAACGACTTAACCTATACCTGATTTACAGTGAACCTGTCAGTCGACAGACCCAAGGTCTGTTGAACTGTTTAGAAGGACGTCTATGCCAAAGATTAGCAAACGGGAACTTGCAAATCTAGGCATCGACAGTCAAGACGAGCCTCCACTTCTGCCGCGAAGACAGCAGAGCTCATCAGTACTACAACCTTCATCGCCAGCCGACCCTCCGTCCTCATCGCAAGGCAGACAAAGCCAACGCGGTAAAGGCAAGGGTGCCACTCCCCAAAGTGCAAGGGCTAAGCGGTCGCTGGAAGTCACAGGTGAACCCTGTCAAGACCGGGAAGAGGCGGCCGCCAACCAAGGCAGCAGGGAGCCAACCGAGAGTCGGGAGCTACCCGGCGCCTTTCCTGACCCAAGTTCAGGACACCCAACCACCTCCCCGTCTCGTTCCCTACCCCAACCCACACCCCATCCCACTCCCCACATCCCATCTCCCTCCCCACTTACATACCAGCCACCCCACTACTCATCAGAACCCATAGACATCCCCAGCACTGATCCCGTATCTGAGCACCAGCACTCTTGTATCCCCCGCCCCAGCCCAGCCCAATCCCCCAGCTCCTCCCCTAGTTCTTCTGATACACACTTGGTCGTGGAAGAGCCTCCTCGCTTTCCTATAAATCCAGTCAGATACGTGGAACTCCCTTTTAATCCCCCAAGACTACGCCTACCCCTTCGGACAATCACATCGGACATGTCGTCAGTCAGGACGGCAGCCCACCCTCAAGGGGAGCGGTACTCGCTTAACCAATACCGGAGAGACGCCATAATTCTACTTAAGATGAATTAGAGACAAAACCAAGGAGAGGTACTCCCAGGTCTTAAACAACGCGTCAAGTTCACGGACGCAGAATTGGCGACGGCCTAGGCAATCCGAAGAATGATGCGCAGACAACACCAAGAGGAGACTCATCAACGCGCACTCGAATACCTAGCAAAACGACCGATTACAATGCAGCACCTGAACGACTGGCGTCGACGATTTGAGAACGGACCAGAAGACGAAGATGAGGACGAGGCCGATCACCCACCCTCTCCACCACCGCCACCTGAACCCCGACAGACGGCGCCTAACCTTCGACCTGTGATACCAAATAACTAGAGAAGGCTAGTACAAACGCCCGCGTTACGCTATCGCACGGAGGAAACCGAAGAAGTGCGACGCGAATTTTCCCCGCCAACGCGATCGCCAGTACGTTTGCCACCACGAGACCATACGCGGTATGTCCCACCACCTAGACAAATGAGCATGCCAGGATCCCATCGACGAAGCCGTTACAGGCAAGGCGGCCCATCTGACCTATCAAGTTTAGACTCGGGGAGTGACCGGACGCGACGCGGCCATCGACGGCACCACCGACAGCGACAAGACCTTATCTAGCCGTTAGCTGATCTGTTCAGCCAACGACGCTTAAAACCCGAAGAAATGGGCACCTTCGACGGGCACAACACGAGTGTACACCTGTACGTGCGTCAGATCCAGCACCGAGTCCGCCTCTACAGATACCAGCGGGTACTCGAAGTCCTCCCACTCTGCATGAAGGGAGACGCCGTAGATTGGTACAGTTCTTTGTCTGATGGCCAAATACACCGCATGACCACTAGCATCAATAAATGGATTATCGCGCTGCGACACTAATTCCAAAAGGACAATCTGCTTGCCAAAGACGAAGCTAATAGATGTAAACACTCGTTCGAACGAGAATCACTCAACGTGCGACAATACATCACTTACAAGCAGACTATACTCTACAACGCAGGCATTGATAGTTAGAACGAGCTACTCATGATTTAAAAAATCTGGCGCGACCTGGACCCTATTCTGCAGAACGCGGTCACCATCAACCCCTACATAAGTATGGAAGACTTCGTTAGTCTCTGCTACTAGAAGGAATATTCGGCCCGACGCGCTTTTGAGCAACAAAAACATCAAGCTACTAAGCGCCTCCGTTTCGTTGCCCAGGAGATGGCACGGCAACGCCAAGACCTAGAACGACCTTTTGGGACCCGTCCAGCGCTGCAACCCATGTCCACGAACCAGAGATCCCAACAAGAACCACCTTGACTAGCCTTGAAGAGCATTATGGGCAAAGATGCGGAACGCCCACTGATGTATCCATGCTGGCACTGTGGAGGATCACACAAGGACTACCAATGTCCCGACCAACCACCGCGACAAAGATCATTTAGTTAGAAACGTGTTGCATTCATGATAGACCTTATAGACAAATTTAACAATTACAACTTTTTAGACAAAGGAGCAGTTAACTCCGCACACAATGACGAGGACTAGGTCATGCGAAGCGACGACATGAGTCCTAACCCGATGCAAACGGAAAACGAGTAGCAGAGCCACAGAAGGACGACTGCGACTCCGAGGAGAGACAACTTCATACTGTCGTCCCAACAATCCCACCCCCACCAACGGAGACACCCGACATCAATAGTGATACCCCACATGTACTTACTGACACTAATCACGCCACCCGCCTCCACAACTCCGTCTTCATTTCAACATTTTAACACGAGAAACCAGCCAAAGCATACATGCAAGCACCGGATCTTACCCCCATAGACTTCGTCCCAGACACCGGCGCTAGAACATCCATTATTAAGCGAAAATACCTTGAACACTACCCAAGAGTGAATATCAAGCAGGCGAGCAAGGATGAACAAATGGAAATAACTGGTATCGGATCGACCGCGATTTTTGCGGAGCATTACATAGAAGACTTCCCCTTGACCATGCAAGCAGTCGATGGCGAAATAATCAGGCTCTACAGACGAGTCTACGTCGTCGACAAGCTGCCAGTCCCATGTATCATCGGCAATAACATACTTAGACTAAACGGAGTCAATATCATGTTTAATGATGTGCTAGGTGATTTTGCGGCACTGCGCATCTAGGGACACTACGTCAAGTTGCATTGCACCCCCGAACCAAGACGTAGGCGTACAGTGATCAGTGCAGCAGCGAACGTGATCGTGCCAGCTGGTACGGGTGTGAAGATCGCCGTCAAAAAACGACGTTTACCCTGAACCACTTCTAGGTACATCCTCACTCTAACCCCTGTCTGCGAACTAGCCAATAATACCTTTGCGTTAACAGGAAATTAATTTCTGAATAGCGATAAGACCTATGTGACATTCGCAAACCTAGGCGAAACCGACATTAAAGTGCATCGTGGACAACAACTGGGCTACCTGGAAATGGCGAGTGTACCAATGCGGAGTGCGGACATTTACCTCTCATTGGACCATCTTTTCCAGGGCCTGCCCATACCCACGGAAGAAGAAGAGCCGGATGACCCACCTACCGGGGCCCCCTTCATCGTCGCACCGCCAGACGACGACACACAAGTGGAAAAAGCAGACGTCAGCACCAAATGGGGTCTAGACTACAAAAGACGCGTGCGATACGTGATCCAAAAACATTCGCGATTGTTCCGCAAAGAATTGGGACGCTTCAACGACGGCATTAAAATGCCCATTCTGTTTGGAGACGGTTGCGACCTATCTAAACTAAAGCAAGCGCCATACTCGCAATCGCTACGGGACAAACGAGCCATTGACGAGGTACTAAACCCACTATGCGAACAAGGACGAATCGTGCCGGTGCCATTGGGACGACCCAGCCTAGTCGCGGCACCAGCTTTTGTGGTCTGGAAAAACCAGAAACCCAGAGTGGTAGTCGACATGCGCAAAGTGAACCAAGCACTCATCCCTGACGCGTACCCATTGCCTAAACAAGACACGATCCTATCCTCCATGGGCGGAGCAATGGTGTTCACATCACTCAATTTCGTCAAAAGCTTCTTCCAGCAGGACATAGCGGAAGAAGACCAGTGGAAAACAGCTTTCGTTACCGCACACCGTGGGCATGAGATGTTCACCGTATCGACCATGGGACTCGCGAACTCGCCAGGGTTTTTCCAGCATCGAATGGAGAACCTATTTGAAAAATACCTGTGGGAATTCGTCCTGGTCTATATCGACGATATCATTATCTTTAGTCAGACACTGGAAGACCACCTTATACATCTCGATCGCGCCCTGACACTGCTCGAAAACGTGGGCGTCACCCTCTCCATCTCGAAGTGTCATTTTGCATATCCTTCAATCTAAGCCCTAACCAATATGAGGCGCGGGTTATCCCATAACCCGCGCCGAAACAGGCTTAGCGTTAGGGTTTCTGCCCGTATCGGGCCATTTTGACCCCCCAAACCCGCGTTGTTTTGACACCCATAAGCCGCACTATTTAGGCTTAGCGTTAGGGTTGACTTAACCCCAAGTACACCCCAATATAGGCCCCAGAGGGTGTCATAGCATATATAGTGACTAAGAAAGTCTGTTGCAGTCTCCCCAATAGCAGTGCGAAACTCGCAGCGTTGTATATACAAGTGTATGGGGTAGTCGCTGCATCTAGGGTTAGGGTTAGGGCTTAACCCCAAGCTAACCCCCAAGTTTAGGGTTACCAAGAAAGTCTCAACAGCATCGCGACACAACAGAACAACGCCCGATGGGGGTATCTTGGAAAGTTTTCTAGATGCCCCCCAGGTATCTCTCTTTTCTATCTTCTACTAGTTGTTGCGTGAGATTCAGACAAGGGCTTGACCCCAGCAACGCTGTTGCTAAGAGAACCGGGGTAACGTCGGACTACTAGTTGCATTAGCACAACAACAAATATATAAAGTAGCGAATTTACTTATACTACTATACTTATAACACTTATATCTAACATTTCATTTAGTTGCGTATACTTTGTCTATTTATCTAGCGAGACTTGACTACAAACGCAAGCGTCTTATGGAGC